TAACTATCTATAATAGTACTGGTACAATCATATACTTTGTAACACATTCTCATACTTTTCTAGGAAAAATTGAAAAGATGGATTGTGGTCTGTATTTTGCGTTTGATCCAAAAACTAATCGATGTGTTTATCAGAACTACGTTGATGAATGCGATGGTAAGAATCACAATTGTCAGTGACATAACGTAATAACGTGATCAAAATTTTAGCCCTTTACGATATTGAAATGCCGTCAATGTGGGGGAATGAAACTGTACCAATGTTGCGTTATATAAAGGCAGGGCTGCAATAACGTTCTTATTTCTACGTTTTGTCCTTATTTCTAAGAAACGCCCTTATTTTTACATGTGACCTTATTTTTGTTGGGCACTTGGATTGGTCAATTCCAATAATTGATCTGCTAGAAATGAATTAAAACCTCACTGACTACTTCGCGCATTCATGGCATAATAACAGCAAATTAATTGCCACAATAACAAAACAATAGCCTACCGGCAAAGATCAGTTCGTGGAACTTAAATCAAAATATAGTAGTGAATGAGAGTTTGCAGTTGACGAGTAGATTTGAGATCTGATAGGTTTGATAAGAATAAGTGACTGCTATAGCAAATCCTTCCTAGTGAATGTGTAATTAGACACCATTCGTTCTCTGTTATCCTATTATCATGTTTCAGTGATGTACTTATTTATGGGTTCGTACCGATGTCAGCCTCGTATATAGAACACACGAAAACGTGAATTCTGATTTCCTAGCGTGCAGTTTTGTGCATTGTTTCCCGTTCACAGAGTTGTTGTCGTAGGACTCTGTTTGACTCCTTTGAGTAAATATGAAGTGTGAAGACATAATGAAAAAGAATAATTTTGTTTTCAAAATCATAGGAACCGATAATTTAATAGTTATCCAATTCTTGTTTGGAAAAAAATTGAAGTTCGTGCATGGTTGCCCTCGTTTTCTTTCATGATGGGTTGGTTTTTTATTTAATAGGCATTGTATTGTTTTTTAATAAAATGAGAAAATCGTTAAACGTCTTTGTATATGACAAAATACAGACATGTGTGTTTTAATTCAAAGTCGGTGTAAAACATCATAGCATCAGAAAACGTCGTAGTCTGTATTTTTGGATGCGAGACGATGTTGGGGGTTATGGCACTGCCCAATGGCTCAGGGCAAATATTTGAAGCTTTCATTCATTTTAAAAAATATATTTATCAGCCTAAATATCACAAAATTTATACCAAAAGGTTAAACAGTAATTTTTATGATTGGTTATAGCTATCTCGGATTGCAGACATTCTGATGATGTATACGTATTGCATGAAGACCAATGTATGACAATCTATTATGACTGTACAGATTCATGTGAGTGTTTATGATATCTCTTTTTTCAGATTTACTAAAAATATATATGATATATTAGAAACGAAAATGGACTATAATCATCTCGAAAAGGCATTGAATTAATGCAATCCGAAAATTTGTATAATATATTCATATTCCAAAGTCTAAACACTAATTTTAGTAAATTTGAAAAGTAAAGCACTTGAACCATGCATTAATTGACAAACAAATATAAAATTGCTAACGACGTTAATTAATGAACAACAGAATTGTGTTTCCATCGCTGATACAGGTGGAAAAAATGTCTTAGTTACTTTCTAAACACTTCGATATTAACTTGAAGTAAATTGTATATTAGTCATATATATAGTTAGATATTAAACAAAGTATTTATTTTTAAGTTTCCATACAACAATGTCCTCCATATCAAGCATACAATCCAGAAACTAAAGGCTGCACGTTTCAAAATTTTAACAAGTTATGCCCTGGTAAGTATATACTTTAAATTTCACAGTGTTATATGTGACTTCATAATGCATATACATAGATTCTGTTGTGTTCTGTTTTTTGTTTTTTTTTAATTTTATGTGTGTTTATTGTTTTGCATTGTTTTTTGCTCGATGAAAATAAATATCTGAATCTGAATCTAGACTCAGAATATGTTATCATAGCCCAACGGTGGACAAACCGCGGCGAGAGTTTTTATGCGGCTCTTCTCATTAGCATTAATTATTATCCAAATTGAACTAAAAGAAACAGTAGTGTAACATTTTTTTTAAATTAATGAGCGGTAGAAGAAGTTTTCAATAATGATTAAGACAAAATATCCTTTAGTATAAAAAATAGTATGCCGCATGTGCCCTTTTACTAAAAAAATTGCCCACCCCTGCCATAGCCAATATTCCTGTGATATCAAATAAAAAACAAGAGAGCTACGCCCAAATATATGGACACGTCTGTTCGCAGTACAGTACGGTTTACCGTACCATCAGATCACAGTCTACAAATATATTCACACCAAGCGAAGCAGTACAGTAGGACACAAAATGGCGTCCGATGCCCGCAGAACGTTTAATGACGTCATAGCAAACAAAAACAAATCTCACAGAGCTAACAGAAATATTTAAAATGAATAAAAGTAATAGCCTTCTGGGGGGAAATTTTATCTTCAACCACTGAAAATTTCAAAGCAATTGGTACTGTATTCGAAGAGAAAAGCGATTTCTTCAAAACGTGTCAAAGAACAAGGACACTAAGAACAACAATAAGAACAACAACAACATAATATTGAAACGATCGCTATGTCCACTACGTGTCCAAAAACAACGTAACAAATTTATACATAATAATAATAACAGTACATCGTTCTTTTATTACAGCCATTACAGCTTTTCAGGAAATCGATGAATGTGACCAACTAACTACAGACGGCGTTATTTCGCTGCCTAGAGACACCTGTACTTCAGAGTATTACACCTGTGAAGGAGGTAAAAATATATGCTCGGAAAGATTGCAACCTTTCTATGTGGGGCCCTACTTTGCGTGTTCTTGATCCTGCGCAGTTTGACGTACGCAGTGGAATATCTCCAACCTGACTCCTCAGGGTTGCAACGTTTGTGTTGCCAAATGACTATCGTTAAGTTGCACCATTGAGTTGAAAAAGTTTTAAGTAATAGATAATGCAAGTATACGGAATGAATTCCAAATTACAACAACGTCAAAAACAACAATTCTTGAGCGGGTGTAATATGCCATCAAACTTGTTTCGATTGATCTGTATTTTCTGGGAGAAACAATTATTTTGAATAAAATAATACCAGCTACAATTTACCAAAGTAACCCATAACTTTGTTTTAAATCGAGAAAAATAACCAAATTTGCATTCAGGTGCACTTGTGAAACATACATGCCCCTTAAATTGCGCGTACGACCCTACAACACAAAGATGCATTTTCCAAAATTTCATAGAAACGTGCTCTGGTAAGTTATATACTTGTATTTATAGATAGAACCTAGAATGAAATAAAAGTGCAGCTAGAATTGATAGTTCTCTCCTCAAGATGATCTAGCATCTGAATGTAGTCTATATATATACAAACTTATTTTCAGTATGTTTAATAAAATAGCAGGGAGGAAATGCGGACACATTTGTTGTTATTTTCGGCGCTTGTAACACTAAAGTCATTAACGAATGAGGAATAAAATTGTTAAAAGTCTATGCTCAAATATAAAGATTGAAGAATTCATAAAAATAAACAGTTCAAAATAAGTAATTATTCCTATATGTGTTATTCAACGCGTAGATAAAACAATTTTTTTGGATTTATGAATGAATATACTTTCCTTGTAATATTGTTGGCAATTTGAGCATATGAATGCCTATGAATACGTTGTGAGATGGTTGATGTAACCTCTGGTCGGTTCCAGCTTACTCCACCTTCATGTCCATGAATCTGGAACAAATAACTGACTAACTTATCCCATACCGGACACGAACCGGTAACCGGACGAGAGATCGTGGTTCGTCATATATATATATATATATAGTTATGCCGTCTTATCAACTTTACTCTCCCCCGGGGTAAATATGTAATCTTTAATTATTCTTTATATTCAGTTATCACGACATGTAACCAATACGAGGAAAACACAGTTTTCAAATTGGATGCTCCATATTGTTCTTCGGTATTCTATTGGTGCGAAAACGGTGAGTTGCTTCGATATCGATCTTCGCGAATCTTTGTACAAATAAATGTTTAGATACAAGTAGAAATTCCGTTGGAAAGATTGTAAGCACCACAACCAATTTTAACTGATTGCGTTCGGCCCAGTCTGAATGAATACGCAACAGAGCAATTATAGAGTTGGAGGATTTTTAACCATATACTAATTCGAAATTATGAAATATAATCATGTAAAGGTGTAGCAGCCATATCATTAATCTAATCACTTCATTGCATCGTAAAGATCTCGTATTTTAGTTCCTAATGCACCTATTTCCTAATTTTATTCCTAATGCACCATTTCAAACCTTCGAAAAAAAATTTACTTTAGAGTAGTCAAACTACAAATCGTTGTTATGAGAAACGTTGAAAGAAAATATGCCCACCCCATTTAGAAGAAGAAATATAACAATACCTACCTCGATTACATCATTTTAATATTCCAAACAGGTGAAGTCGTGAAAATAACCTGCCAAGACAATTGTGCTTTTGATCCAGAGCTAAATTATTGCGTATTTCAGAATTTCGTGGAATCGTGTGACAGTGAGTATAAACTTAACGATATAAAATAAGTGTGCAGCAATGTTCAGTTGAAGTATTTTTAAAATTTACCAACAGTTGTAATTGTAATGCATACCGCAAAGTGCTCTATATTTAGCTGTGGCCGTTCATTACCGACGTAAAGCCTGAATTCCAGGAATTTTGAAGTATTGAAAATATGGAACTTTAAAATGCAAAATTTCACCTCATAAATTAGGGTTTATTGAAGGATCAGTACCCGAACAAATATTTTATAATAAGCACGTCTGATTGATTTATTATTTTGGCAGAGATAACAGTCAATTGTAATGCTTTCACATGCAGCAACGGAGGCTTATGTACAACCGTAGGCGACAACGATTTCTTGTGCACTTGTCTTGACGGATATACTGGACGACAATGCGAATTTAGTATGTATACCGTAACTAGATATATATAAGTATAAGGTTTTCCTTGCGCGTCAATAACCATATACTATAATAACCATCCGCATTCGTTCGAATGATTGTTTTTTGACTGCATATCATGTGGATTTCGGAACGACAGCATCGTATTGTGTGTGATAAGATCCCTGCAATCGGCGATAGTCTTACCACCGGGACATAGCAATAAGCGAACTGAAAAAGTTTCCTGAATATGGTAGTAAACATACGGTGAAATGACGACATAAAAAGAGCATTGATTGACATTGTTAAAAACACTCGTTATACAAGTTCATTGAAAAATTGGAGATTCGTGAAAACGAAGCAGTCGAGATTGTCATGAAAACCATGTACTATAATGGGTAACTTCTATGTGCAAATGGCATCTATCGCGATGTACTACCAATGGTACTTTGTCCTGGTAATGCAATGCTATAGTCGAATAGCCATTTTCTGTATAGCTTTCTTAGACATATATATAAATTGAGCGAATGCTTCATAGAACTATCGCATTGATTGCGTTTCCAGATATTGATGATTGTTCATCGAATTCATGTCAAAACGGAGGAATTTGCATCGATGGAGTGAATGAATTCTCGTGTAGCTGTACAGTAGGATACAGAGGAACACTTTGTGAGGAAGGTGGGATTGAATGCTGTTTGTGTTTTAAACACCACTACAAAATCCCGCTGTTTTACTTTTACTGTGTTTCGCTGCATAAGCACTTGTGAAGTTTTTCCATATTGAATTTCAATTGTTCAAAAAATTACTTTTCAAACACTGTAAATTTGTCGTAAGGTATCGATCATATAAAAATATCAGTGGAAATATTACGGTTCATGAAACTTGTTTGCTCAGTGGCTTCCGATTAACATGACAGGTCTCCCTACCAGCTGTTCTGACGTCACTGATATGGACCTCGCTAAAGAGGGTCAAGCGGGAATTTACATTATATGCACAAAGCATAGAACCTCTTGTTATGAAGTTTTTTGCTATACGGATCCCGATTTTGGTGATGGCTGGGTCGTAAGTAGTGTTAAATTCTGTGTTACACAATATTATTTAGCTTGGATTTGTATATGTATAATATAATACTTTCAATCATAAAGTATTATATATATATATATGTAGTGCATGTAATCTTGTTCTACACGAAGTGGACTTATAGATCATTTTGGTGGTATATTGTTGTTGTTAGGATTATTACTTATCGATTTTAATCGGTAAGTATGTTGAAAGGTATTTTTCTGTCTGTCTGTGTGTATGTCTGTTAGATGCACGCGATATCTCACGAAAACAAGATTGAATCGGCTCCAGATTCTGCAGTTGCATTCATCATATCTCGGACCAAATGCCTATTAATTTTGGGGAAGTTATGTCGTATAGTTAGCGAGTTATTGATTAATTAGTGATCGGACACAAGGTGTCACTATGGAGTTAGAGCGCTGTTTTGGGGATCCCTTAACTTTGGATCGATAAGTCTTTGGTCTCTGACCGATATTCTCGTTTTTCATATTGGTATGAAAATATCCCTTTCGTCTCCAAATACTGGACCAATTGCTTTGAAATTTTCGGTGGTAAAAACTGTTGTTGTCACGAGAAGGGTATTACTTTCATTTATTTCGCAAATTTCTGTGAATATTATGGGATCTGTTTTTGTCTGTGATGTTGTCATCAAAATAAAAAAAATATTTGCGCAACTTGTGGCGGTTTCGCGCTCGTCGCGTTCAGTACCCGTGCTGTGAAAGATCAGATACCGTTACCTTACTATACTTTGTTTTAGCTTCCGTGTCCACATATTTTGACATTGCTTCCTTGTTTCCTAAACCAAGCCCAACGCGTCTGCTGTCAAGCGTTTGTTATATTGCATCAAAAATCGTCCTATGGAGGTATAAGGTTCTAAATTTTTTGATTTACATATTTTGAAGGTATTCCAGCGGCGATTTGAGCAAGAGACTCAGGTTGATTTTGATGTTGATTATGAAAAATATGTTGAAGGATTTGGAGTTCTAACCGGAGAAATGTGGCTCGGTATATATATATATTTGATAATAATACTTTTGCATCAACCTTTTGTATATAACAGGTCGCTGACCACAGAAAGCTTTTTAGGAAAAGTGTACAGCAGCGAATCTAGAAGAAAGGTCAGGCCAAACCTCTTCTTCTTGGTATCGGAAAGTAAAAGGAAAACGTTACACATCTTTGCCGAAACCTAAAAATATTCAATTCACTCAAAAAATACTCAACTTGAGCGTTTCATACGAAAATTTATAAAAATAAATAATACTTATAAGACTTTATTGAGTGGTGAGCGATAAAGTGCCAAAAATAGTGTGAAATGAAATGGAATTAGTTCCGTTTGTTGACATAGTAACGAAGAAGTTCCATTTATATTACAGTGATCAGTTGCACGTTATCGTACTCACTGTTGGCACTAGTTCCAAGTACAGAAAAAGTAAATAATTAGGCCCAAGTGGAAATTGTTATCAATCACTAAACATTGAGTTCTGATATTTTTAGCTTAGTTGAATATTTTTACTGATGAACAGGTTTACAGAAAATCTATGAACTTACAAACGGAAGACATAATGAACTACTCATCGAACTAACGGATTGGGGTGGTCTGAAAAGATATGCATTATATTAGTAAGTTGACTTTATTTTAAAGTAAAATATTTAACATACATTCCAAAAAGATCAACAGACGATTATGACGAATAATGAACATATCAGATAAGTTTTGGTGAAATATAATGATGATTCACATGCCTAAATATTGAGTCGTAAGTAGGGCTGGGCATTTTCCTAAAAAGAGTCACATACAATTAGATATCTTCCAGGTATTCGGGATTCGATTGGAAAAAATATTCGATTCGATTCTGAAATCATCAGGTATTCGAAAACGCCCAACCCCAGTCGAAAGTGGTATCTATACTCAAACTGAATTCAAAAATACAATTAAAAATTTAAATATTTGTTTAAAACCCTAAAGTAGACCACAAAATACATGCATAAATGTGAGAGTGTGATAGTTGCTCTATAAAACTGGTGTCTTACATTTACGTTTTGAAAAAAAAGTTTCTTTTAATTTAAATCGAATTTCGTATATTATATACCCGAACCTGTATTACAATTCTTATATGAAGTGTTGTTAATTATCGTATATCCTCAGGCTATAGAAGTCAATGATTAAAATTCAAATAAACAATCTCAAGCAAATTCCGGTACGGCGCACGAAGAGAAACAAATTATCAACATGAGCCCCGCTGCACCACTATTCAAAGAAACTGGACTTTTTGTGATGTCGCACCGCACTCTTTGAATACAAAATGAACCAACGAATCGTTATGTCATATTGTTAAAGCTTATGTTGGAGTTTTTGTATATAAAAAGTATATGTGTTGATTGTCATACATTTGCCCTTATCCCTTATTTCAAAAAATTTAAAAGCTATGATTCATAACTTGTATAATCAACTTCAAATAGTAGTCGACAACACAATAAAAAAAAAAGTTTAATCCATTTCTGGAGCATCTTTTAGCGACGGTCATTTTGACAGGCGGATTTGTGATTATTTGTAAAAGTATCAAAAGATGTGGATGTTGAAGTAGTAAAAGTATTCAAGAGGTAATAAATTTAGAGACAAGTAATATCTGCAATTCATTCTACAGTTGGTTCTCGTTGGATTCACCTGAAAAAAAATTCAAACTTAACGTTGATTCATCGCAATTCTATGGAAATGCAGGAGATTCTCTGGTGTGTGACGTCGGATATAAATTTCGTGCGGGAGGCGACGATGTTTGCTCTAAAACGTATAAAGGGGGATGGTGGTTCGGAGAAGAAAACTGTGGCTTGTCAAATTTGAATGGTCCTTATAAGTCTCTGAGTTATATCGAAAATGGAGACTACAAGTATGAAAGACTTCCTGTCGATTTCTGGGCTACGTGGCCCAGGATCGGTGGTGATAGTCGATATTATCCTATGAAAGAAACTAAAATGATGTTCAGAAATGTTTGATAAATCCGACATATCTTTTTCTTTTCTTTTTTGTTAATAATACAAACTATATGTATTAAATATAGCATATTACAAAACGTTATGTGATTCTGTCTGTTAGCGGGTTGAAATAGAACAGGAGTTCTTAATTCTTTTATAACACGGGCCACTAAATATATATCTGGTTTGTGCAGATCCATTTGTGACCTAGTCTAAATTTAGTCTGGTTGAAATTTGTGCGCACGAGTCTAAACAAATTCAAAAAAAAAAAAATCGAGTTTTTCTGCGTTCAAAAGGAAAATCAGCTAATGAACTCGCGCATATTTTCCTATCCATCTTGCCAAAACAGCTTTTGTGACGTCACTTGTGCGCGTATTGACATTTCGAAACAAAACAAAAAAATAAGTGGGAAATTGCATTGTTACATAAACTCCAAAATTGAGGGGCTAAAATGGTGTTATCAGTTATCCTGCGAGATATTTCAGGTGATTGGGATTATCAACTGATAGGGGCACAATCTCAAATTTCATAACATTAATTTCGCTATTGCCTGGGGGGGTTTAGCAGCCGATGAACGTAACACGTTGTAATCTTTCGTATATGTGTGTGTGCATCGATGTATTCAGAGCAGTTCGATTTAAGAAGGATTTCTTTCGAAGCTTGCTCTGTTTAAATGGTTTCACGGAATAAATTAGTTGCGTCAACGTTGGTTTTATAAATGATCGTTAGTTCTGTTTTGCGCTATACATATATATATATCACACGGTGATAGAAAGGCTTTTATGCGCATCAGGAGAAATATATTATGTGTATTCCTACATATGCTAGTTGTAGGTGATACATGGCTGGATTGTCATGTAAGCTGTCAGCATTACGTTTTTTTTGTGCAGCAGTAATGCATTACTATTAGTAATAACATGTAGAATTCAGCAACAACAACTTTTTCAAGTACAAGATGGGTTTTGAAGTAAAGGCAATTTATATAGTAATCCCGGCAATTTTTGTGGTGGCATACGTTTGGGCCAGGAACACCATGTCTCCATCTTTACGCAATGTTCAAACATATCACGATTTTATCGCTCCGACGAGTAATTATATTAAAATTGAAGCAACGCCTCACACTGAATTAGAGGTAAGTAAGTAGTGGAAAGTGTTTCACGCTCTTAAATTATTCTCCTTCAAATATTGTTACAAATAATTCCATTGAATGGATCTGTTCTTTTATCTTTATTAATAGATAAATTGTGTTAAAAAATGTTCTAATGATGCTATAGTGATAATCAACATTTCATGTACCTATCCTATAACAAAATTGGGGCCATGTTCACAACACGACTTAATTATTTCTAGTTGGCGTGGCACAACCATTTTTGCATATGTTATTCCTAACCCCCACCTGACTACGTCATTCAAAAACTACGTCACTACGACATCACAGTAACGTAGTAAGGCCCCCAAACTATACTAACCGTCATCCAGGACGCGCAAACGATCACCCGAAATCGAGCAAGATATTTCTCTCGTTTTCTCGTCGTAACGATTCCGATATGACAGAGATCGCAGGGGTTAGTGAGTTCGTTATCGTTGACGAAGATACCACTTTGGGCGATCGTAGCCATACTTTTGGCAAGATCTTTGACGTGATTGTGAGGTCGTAGTGACATATTCTTCGGATAACAGAGCCAGGTGGGGGTTAGGAATAACATTTGCAAAAATGGTTGTGCCACGCCAAATAGAAGAACTTGCGGCGTTTAGTGAACATGCGCCCAAAATTGAATATCATCAACATTTTCTTAATATCGTTCTGTGCATTCTGTAACTGATACTAACGTTCAAATCGTTTTTTGACAAACAATCACATATCGAAAATAACTCCAAGATTTTCATATTAAGCGTACTAATTAAATATCATCCTATTTTTATTAGTGGAAACCAACAACAGTGAAAACTTCATCAAGCTCGACAACAACTTTGACAACATCAAAACAGCAGTGGAATTCTCTCACTCAATTGTATCCTGTCATAAATAAACTATTGAAACGTTGCTCACCTCATAAGAAAATAGTTTATGTAAAAACTCACAAAACGGCATCAAGCAGCGTATTTGGTATCCTGATCAAACATTTGTGGATGTTTCGCGGAAAAAAGGTACGACTAGTGGAGGAATAAAAAAATTTTAACATCAAAATTTTTTCATTTGACAACGAAAAATAAAATCATTTTGTAAATTTTTTATGCAGCAGAACATGTTTCCATTATCGTTCATTGGAGGATACCCAGGACATTTTGACTCCAAATTTCTACTCAATGAGAATAAAACTCAAATTGGATCATCGGATATTAAGCCAAATGTTGTTGCAGGTCACTTGAGGTTTAATGCAACAGCTTTTAAAAAATTGATGCCACCAGGAACAAAGTAAATTTTCTACTGATACTATTGCAAGTTATTTATGATTTTTTCAATGCAACAAAAATTTGGAAATTTCAATTGGAAATTACATAAAAGTCTAGGTACCGTACATACCTGATTACATATATATATATATATATCATGTGTTTTAAAAGTTTAAACGTCACAAATTTTTTTCCCTTTTTTGTCGTTTAAAAAACCATTTTTATTCTCGAAATTGTACTGGTTTTAGGTACATAACGATTTTGAGAAATCCTGCTGACGCGTTCTATTCTGCATTTAATTACTACTATGGGGATCTATACTACGCCAATCTGACAAGAATGAAGGTTTGTATTTAAATATATATTTCTTAATGGTGAAGAGGTGATAAAGTCAAAAGTGGAATCAAAAGTTCCAAGATACTGAGATTAAATACTTTTATATATAATGTCGTTCATAAAATTGGAGTAAATACTGAAATAAATTTCATTTGGCGTGAATTCCAGATTTGTAGTTGCCTCAGTCGAGTATTTAAACTACGGTCGATGTGCAGGTGTTTATTTGTGAACTAAAGAGGTCGGAAAATATTGCGGCATTATGAAGAAGCATATAGCATTGACCTGGTTGATTGTAGAATGCAATATTTAAAAGTATATAACAGGATGCTTTTTATATTCGTTAATGGTACAAATCAGCCGAACATGTTTTCTCAACTTTGCCTGCGTTTAAATAGCGTCTCCGTAACTTCCTGTCATTACAATAAAAACAGTTTTAACATGATTATTTCTTTGTTGCATAGACCAACTGCAGGTATTCTCCCTATCTGGATTTACTTGGGCGCTTCAATGCTTCTTTTGAGCAGTTTTTAAAAACTGCTTCAACGAAACTGAACCCATCTGTCCCTTGGTATTTTAGGTAAGATTTCTGTATTGAATTATAATGTAAAATACTTGCAAGATATATTTGCTGCCCGCTATCAACCATGGGTTATGTAATTTCCCACATTTGTATATCCTACAAATTTCGTTTTATTCAGGGGTATGAATTATCAATCTCATGATTTGGGGATGGACCCAAGCGTGAACGACCAAGGGTATATCTCAGATCAAATACGTCAACTTGCAGAGACCTTTGACTTAGTTATGATATCGGACTACTATTTAGAATCTCTCGTTCTTTTGAAGGTACGTTTCTTATTTTTTCTGAGCGAATAAAATGAAGAAGTTTGAAACTTTTTGTATCATTGCCGAATAGTAAAGGGCTTTGTTCTTTTCAAATAATTGTTAGAAGAGCTTTCATTTTTAATAATACATATATATATATACCGGTATACTTTTACTCCACAACAACTTTCTGTCCGATTTGCGCGTCAATGCTCTTATAAACAATTTGTCTCATAGATGGAACAAATAAGTTGATCAATGTATAAATGTAAAGGTATTCAAGTTATCATATAAAAACTCAAATTCTTTTTCTTTTTAGGAAGAATTATGCCTGAGTAAGTCGATTTTATCTCGAGATATAACAAATAAGGGAAAGCACGGGAAAAGGATATTTACCAAAACAGAAATGAGCCTTATCAGAAGTCTTCACAAGCAGGTATACGTCATAAGAGTTGAGTTATTAATAAAGGAACTACCACTAAAGACCGCGTTTTCTCGTTGCACACGAAATGTAGCCTACATATTATATATCCTGTTGCTAAATTATTGTTGTTGGCGACAACCAATTGCCTTTTCCCGCAACTAATGGACCAACCGAGTCTTGCGACCTTCGTGACCATATCTCAGAGCAAAAGATCTCACACTTCTGGCGTTATGGAGCCCGTTAAGAGGGTGACTTTTATTTACAGTGCCCAGTGATTTCCCTACACCCCCCCTAAAGGGGGTGAACACCTCCCCTAAAATTTCAAACACCCCCCCCCCCCCCTAATTTTGAGGTGCGATTCCACACTGAAGGGTTCTAAACCGCAGTCTGCGGGCCAACTACGGCCCGCGTGACGATTTAAAATGGTCCGCCGAACTTGAGTGAAATAGTTTAACCCTTCATGTGTTACCTTTCCAGTTTTAGATACCGTCTATTGTTACATCATTATCACAGTTTAAGCACGTTTATTTCGTAACAATTGGATTATTCCGGTATCTTATGTATAGGTATGGGTATTATGATTACACACTGCAGTATTTTAGATATCAGCCATATATTAAGAAAGCTTAAAGATGTCACAAAACGAAAACTAGGCACTGAAAACAGACGTTTTTTAGATGAATGACATCGTTTTTATTTCTTTATTGAAAAGAATCAAACTTCAGTGATTTGTCTTCTTACAAAATATTTCAGTTCTGAAGGAATACAACATTATGCGACATTATGATCAATTGACGAGCGTATTTCAAAATTTAATTCATACAAAATTCAAATAAACATGTTCAAAAAAATTAGAAATGTGTAACAAAACAAGCCATAAGTAGCCATTCATACAATGCCAGATGAGCAAGTAACTTCATTAGTCACTATCAGTTGCAAATTACTTGTTGAAACGTAGTAGTATATATTTACGGTTGAAAGCCGTGCTTGTTATCTTTTCCTCGGGAATTCTATCAGCTAAATTTTATAAATATTGATTTTATTGCATAACAAACTGCGATGCTAGGTGTATCTAAAATCAAGCTTAGAGCCTATTTTGGTGCCTATTTCTCAAAATTTTCTCAGGGCGCTTAAGCGCGCCCTGAACCCCAGCCGTGTCGTCCCGCACTTTTCCTCGCTCCCCTTTTCTGGCCCTACAATTTCATTCTGCTGTGTATTTTGGCTGGCCGTCAATCAACTTGGGGGGCCCCCATGTACATCGTTTCTTAAATACATACCATTTTTTTAAGAATACAAATAGCCTAGTTTTATCTCTAATAGCAAATTATTTACCACCCCCTAAATTTTGAAACACCCCCCCCCCCCCCTAAAGAGAAAAGCTGGGGAACATACTGACAGAGCCCCACAAGTTTGACACTTGACAAACATATCCTTAACGTAGTGTCGAATTATGGAAACATGGCGGTAATTAAAATATGGCACTATCTTTCAGAACTTATTAACGCTACTGTTGTTGAATTTTATAAATGCCGCTATTGCTACTTTGGACAGTCACAAAATTAGCCAAGTCAGTATTTTTATAAGTTAACGAATAGCTCGCGGATCCCTGGAGCTCCCTATGGAGCACTTTGAGAAACTATGTCTTAGACATTGTTCTCCTGTTCCATAAATATAGTTCAATTATCACGTTTATATTCTCGAACGAACGCTACATAAAAAAACGATTCCTACACCCGTTAAATAATGGATTTTTGTTTTTTTTTATTCGTATATAATAGGATTATGCTTTATATGATTATTTCAATCGCACACTATGGAAAAAAATTGACGCTTATGGAAGAGAACGAATGGCAGAACAGATTAAAAAGATACAATACAGCCGAATATCCACCAAGAAAAAGAGTAGAAAACATAAAGAGGATTTCATACCATCAGAGAAGCTTGTAGAAAGTCACTATTCGCTTGATACCGCAACAAAGCTGGCGACAAGATTAGCAAAAGAGAGCGGCTTTGACCCACATCTGCCAGAAATTATAAATATGGCTGAATATATGCACTCAAATTCGGGTGGTTGCAATTTTTGATTGCACGTTTGATTTGTATTTATTTCCCATATTGCGATAACACTGAAAAAATATATTTCTGTTTTCACTGTGAATATAGGAATTTTCGTTTTTGATTATGTTGTAAATTCGTGTGTTACTGTTTTTTTTTTATAAATATATGAAACAGAAACTTTCTTCCTGAGCAAAAATTAAAAATAGTGTCTATTTTTGCTAGGCGTATAAACTTACAAGTATATATATTTCAAAGTAATAATTAGCTAGAAAAATATGAGTAATTGCGCACACAGATGAAATTAAAAATAGAATTGGCGAAAACTTGTTATTTCATACGACGTCGCGTGATCAAAAATTGCTATTTTTGCACAACGGTAAGAACAATGTTCATTCAGAAATATTTCAAAAATTAAACTTTATGATGCAAATTAGGATAAATAAGGATAGAAAAATACTGATATTAGTTTTCAAGAAGAAAACTTTTTAAAACAGCGACGAAAATAATCGTGTCAAATGTCCTAAAGTCTCGAGTAATCTAAAGAAAATGACAACTAACCAAAAGAGAGTCTTTCCAAACATCTTATGCAGCGATCCGACCCGGGGCACTAAAATTGAAAAGTTGCTGGAACTGCATACTTGATTTGAAACTAAAAGTAGGCCTGGCCGAGAATCGACGCCCGTATCCGATTTTGAGGGCTTGTACCCAACACCGCAGCAAATCATCGCCGAAAAACCAGATAGCTTGGATTACGACATTTATGTTTCGCCGAGCGTCGGAAAAACGGCTTTACTTTATTAATTAAAACTCTTTGGAAAAAAACAATAGGCGATATATATTGAGTGTGAACCGCTTTTATGAAACCATTCACATGCATTTGAAAGAATATAAAACTATCGATGAAACACCAGACCGAGACTTCCAAGGGTCAAAGAGTTGTTTACTTGTGGCCTTGCTACTTGTGTTTACTATTTTCAGCACATTTCAAAAATGAGCATTCGACTTTAAGAGCATTTGATAATTCCAAAGCTTAACGTCGTGAAATCTGAAATACTACTTTGGCCTATTTGAATCTTTTTCACATTCAGTCTCTAGTCTGACTAGCAATGATCTATCAAATAGCCCAAACTTAAAAGACTGAAGCTAGCCATCGCGATTCGCGAGTTTACATTACAATGATGCTTTAATACGATTCTATTTCACAGAAAATGAATATTAAATTATAATCAGTTAATTAAATATTCATCATTTACTATTCTACAAAAAGCTATAAATCTATAGCCTGTACTGTCGTATGCAGTATGCACAACTGTGCAGTTACCAACATAGTATATTACTTGTTTTGATTGTTCATATATTTTTAGAAGTAGAATCTTGTGAATCATTGAGAATCATTGAATACTAATACATTTTTATTCCACTCTTAGACAACAAGTTTATAAATGCATCTTTTAACCAAGTGTAACCTGAAGACAATGCCGCTGATGGAGGATTCTTTACAACTTTATAAATACCATAAGACAATAAAATTGCGGCTGCTGAAATTGAAAAATACATTTCACGTTGCATTTTTATCAACAATGGATCTGTTGCCAACCATTCCTTGCTAATATTGCCTCTCACGTTTTTATGTGGAAATGGAGAGTTGGGAACAGGAACTTTCAAAAATGCACACAGAGGTTCCCAGCCTTCAGAAACGTTATATATTAGCAGTTGATCCTTAGGTGCGTTCTGTTTGAAAATATAAATCATATTAGCTTGCCGATAAATCATACAATCTCAATTATTTCATCAGTTACATTCGTTAACTTAATTAGGATTTCACACAAGTTTAATAGTGTTATGTGAACTACGCTTATTCTTGGAATTGAGAGGATTTTAGTACGATGCAACATAAATGTACCTGAAGAACGTGTGCATTGTGAGCTCTGTATTTTTTTTTTGCTAAAGCTTCGTTGATTCGAATGTTGTTCGACCATATTGCCGGTGGAACATAGCCCAGAGCCAAACGCGCTAAAATGTGGTATTGTAAAGATTTAGGTAAAGATTTGTTAAGATATTTGTTTTTAAATTCGATAGAGCAAAGAATCTCGATCTTTTTCTTGTTAGGTACCTCCAAGTCACAGAATAAAATCAAGGTAAATCATAAATCACAAATCATAAAGAATATTAACCTGTTGGAGAAGCAACGTTTTTTTCTATTCTCCACTGAGTTGGAGAAGTAGTTTTCAACAGTCTTATTGCAAAATTCTTATGAAAATTTTCTATTTGATTTTTCAAACTGTTAAACCATTCATCCTCGTTTTTTCTTCTCATGAATATTATCTGAAAAATCATTTCAAATAGTAATAATTCATTATTGTCGATACACTAGACGTTGTGATACTTGATTACTGACGTGAATACAATTATCAGTTTCTCTTTGGTGTATATATATAAAACATGAGCAAATCCACAATTTTACAATAGTGCTCAACAACTTCAATAACAAATTTGAGTAAAGTTTCGATTTTGAACACCACAATTCTTCATAAAGCATTAGGGCTAATTTTTCCATTTACAGAAGTTAATCATGTATACAAACATCACCGATTTTCGATGTTAGCTATCCCTGGCATTATTTTTGCCCAGTGACTAACTTCATCTACTTAAAGATTTTTGTAATAGGCTACGGATAAGATTTTTATAGGCAAGTTAGACCTTTGAGTCAGGAAAAGCCCACAAAATTTCTTCCCAGAAATAACATGCGGGTATGTCCGACACCGCGTCAACGTCCTCGTACATTTTTCGAAAATCTTCTATTGTTGCACCTTCGTAGAAGACCTTGGTCCATTCTTTTTCCAATATAAGTAAATTTTCGGTGTGCCCATAAACTTTGTACCCAAGCTGTGTCAACGCTTCATCCATTGACTTTGTCCCTGTTTTAGGGAATCCTGCTACAATTATTTTCATGGCTGATCAGACCTAATCGCTACAACATCTAGCTCTATGAACGGAACGTATAATTTAATGACATATAACATGCGCAGTTGTACAGTAAAACTTGGTTAATTGAGTCGACATTTTACTAGCATCTCCAAATAGCGATACGAATCGGAATGCTTGAATTCGGAAAATGAAAAGATCAACAAACCTTCTAAATCTGTATGTTGTTCTACTTGAAAGGTTCAACCTACTTTTCTTGGGAATATTGTACCCAATTAGTTCGATGCAAAACCGCTGTTACATTGACTATTGAGGATGTAAGTTTTAGAACTCCAAATCGATTCATATTACGTCAATTAAAATGAATTAGAAGCAATTCTGCGTGATCCTCCTCGATTCTTTAAAAACGATTAACACGTTACTACTCGGCATAGTAAAGTATCGATCAACTCCTCTCTAAATCTGTATACAGAACAGCATGAATATCTGAATCTTCGTTCACATAAACCTGTGAGGTTTTGCTCGTAACCATTTCGCATTTTCGCACAAATGGTGAGGTCAAAGAAATTAAGTTGGCCTATATTTCAAACGTAATTGCTTTATAAAAAATCTTACCTTAAAAATAGGTATTGATTGCAAATAAACATATATATATATATCTGTGCATCATGATTTGTCTTACCTTACAATGTTGACCAAATAAACTATTACTAATAATAATAATTGAAGAGTCATGTCATACATACGATAAATATAGTTTTCCATATACTTTATGCATTATTAATTAGCTCATCATTATTTTACGACTTATAGTCTTTAAATATTTGGATAAAATTAACAAGCACATGCCATCATAAACATTATATGGCATTACACATGATATATATGCGAAAAAGCGTCTGAAACTGAAATTGCCTTATCACGATTAGTAAACCATAAGCCTGTGGGTGCCTCGGTACCGTCGCCTAGAAATCAGCCCTATTGAACACTGCCAGGAAAATATAGGTATTTCTACAATCAGTAGCGTATTGCGACATTTCAACACAGTATATTGGTACTATGACCGGTGTAAATATTGATCAGTTCCGACCAGTGTTCCCTCTAAAGTCTAAAGTGTGCGCGCGCACACAGTTTTCAGAGGCTGCGCACACGCATAGATTTACCGCGCACAGACGTATTTCGATGTAATGTAACAATGTTCTCGGTTGACAGGTTGACAAAATTCGTTGTTGACCCACCCATTACCCGGTTGGAACGCCAAAATTTCTTCATAGGTTTCTGCACAAATATAAGTCATTTCCAAAAAAGTGCGCACACACCAAACTTTATGCGCATACTACAAAAAATTAGAGGGAACATTGGTTCCGACCGACTTTTTAAAGAAAGGTAAACAGAGGATGCGTTGGGTCAAGAAACGTATTGTGATAGAAAACGAAAATTCCTATGGTAGTGTGGCCGGTTCGATGATGTATGTGTATATTTAGACACCAAACAGAACTTATCACTTTGACTAATTAATTTTGGCGATGAACCGAATATGTGACAGATTTCAGCAATAGCCTATACTTTGGAGCCTCCAATTTCATTTTTGCCAAAATACAGATTTCCTTTTTCAAGAGGAATCTGCACAAAGTAACATCCTTTAACATCGACTTTCCAAATTGTCCTAGGCTGAGGGAACCCATGCTAGTCCCAGCACAGTTGATAACCCTGCTAGATAGGAGTAGTTCCAAATAAACTCTTTTCGATTACTCATTGTGCTTTCGTAGTGTGTCAGAATGGCTAACAAAAACGATTGTTTGATTGAAATCTATTGACTATCGTGTTTTCGAGACTTGTCGTACACCTCGTGGCCCAGCAGTTTTGAAAGGGCGCGCCGCGGCGCACTAGTGCGCGATTTTCAAGTGCGCCTTGAAAATTATCAGACCTGTGTTGAACATAACTAATATATGATTGGATATTTATTGTATACATATTGTTATTATTATATTTGCTCTATTGTTTCTTATTTTAAACGCTACGATATGAATCAATAAATTCATTTTTCTGCCGCTTACTTTTTGTCATGTAGAGTTCGCCTTTACAGTATTGTTATGTGATTGTTACGGAATAATTGAGGAGTGCACTACTTTTTGCAATCGCTATTTTGCGAGCTGAAGTTTCTTTATCTTCCGAACAGAGTTTAGCAAACATGAGTGATGTTTTAGTATTTTAAAGGAAAATCAGTCAAAGATAAAGAAGCAGTCTTGATCTTTTTCCTTTATTCCTTATTAGACAGATCGAAATATGTTTACAAACTTTAAAAGACATAAAGTTACACATTAACGATCACAAAATTGAATTATATTTGAAGGCAGCAATTATTTTTTGTGTAAGTCGCTGATAATTTAGCGCCGCACGAACCTAAAGTTTGGGAATCGCTGTGGTAGCCAATTTCTACACGATTTCATCGTCTTGGCGTGTTTTCCTCGCATTCGTATTGAATCCACACTGGAAAGCCATTATTCAAAACTCAAAAATATCAAGAACTAATGTTTCCATGATTAAATGAACTTCACATTTTGTGAAAAATTTGAAATACGTTTTAAATTGCACATACATATATATATATGTACTTGCCATAAGACATATATTTTCACTTTTATTAGTATAATATATATGAGTTCACAAGACCAAATAAAGTAAATTGATCATTGTAACATTTATAATTATGAAAGACTTCATAGAGAAAGGACATGAACAGCTGATAACATCTCGGAATTTCCATCGACAACGAAGCGATTCACGAAATAATCCGTATGAAGATTTAAATTAAAACTAAAATATTGACATATAACATTTTACTGTTATAGACACCATAATATAGCGATTCGTACACTCGTGCTTCATACAAATTATACCATAAACATGCACATGCAATTGAAATGCAGTACAGTGCCGTCAACTGCTTAATTGTATCGAATTAAATGTGTTTCAATCCGGTTTTATTATTTTTTGAGCATGGAAGAGAATGTTTCCTGCACCCAGTCACAAGCATTTTGAAGAGCAGTTGGCGGGTCCTTCGCTAGTTTGTATACCAAACACGCCATTGCAACACCAAAGAGAGAAACCGCAACTTTTTGTTCCAACTTAGACCTTAGAAGCACCGGATTATCCTTTAAACGATTCTTTATCAGAGACTGCCCTTCCTCCACGCTGGGAAATCTTACATTGGGTACATCTACGCCAAGAAATTCGCACAATGGTTTCCAGCCATCCGATACTCTATATTCTAGTAATTGATCCTTCGGGGAATTCTGCGTAAAAACAGATTATGATTTTTATATTAAAGTTAGTGATTTTAAAATAAATATTCGCCCGTTAGCCCACCATGAATAAAATATATACTTACTTCCAACACATGTGCATTATGAGCTCTGTATCTTTTCTTGGCAAGACTTTTGTTGACATACAATTTAGAAAACATACCAGGCGGAGAAAATCCGTACACCAATCGCTCTAAATTGAATAAACTTTATAATGGTATAATTGTTGAAGAAATAGTGACCAACTCCATTGATACCCTTCCAGTATTAGAAAATCGAGTAATTAGTCTGAATGGAACTCTATTTCTTCCATTTTCTCTTATGGTCACCAAAGATCACTCCGAAGCCCAATGTAAATATTCTTTTGGATTCTATATATTCATTTCAGGCTTATTGTTTTCCCCCTTTGCTTTCTTTTTACGGCACATTTACATGGCCCGCCAGTCTAGGTGGGCAAAAATTTGGACCCCTGATTCAAAAACCTTGCCCACCCCTGATCTACCAGAATTGGGTAGTGGCAGAAGACTTAATCAAATGCTGTGAACTTCGAATTAACAAATAACCCCCATATTGATGAATGTATGTATGAGTGCATGTGAGTTGTACTTATGCTGAATTCAAAATATCTTAATTTGACAGCGAACAACCAACCAGCCCTATTTTATTTATTTCGGATATCAGTCTAATAAACTTTACGTAGGATAATCATATTGCAGTACTCAATAATTACCCATGGGAATTTCAACCCTGTTACTTATTCTACGCATTGTTGGTGACGTCATCGTAAGAAAATCTTTGTCGCAATCACTGTGTCCTTTCTTAATTAGGTCAGCAATCCCATCTGCCCAAACATTTTCATCTGTGTGCTTCGTGAAAATTATCTAAAAAAATCAGTTAATTTAGAAAAATGGCATGTGTTTTATGCACACTTGATCAAGGGCGCGTCGGCAGATTTAGCTCTCGATTGCAGCAAAATAACTGCTTCGAAATTTAGGAAAAGCTGTTCGGTCATTGCCGTATGATTCATTATTTACTTAATTCAAACAATTGGATAAAGGTGACTAGGTCTTAATTTAACTCGCTTCGATGCTAGCATATAAAGTTCATCCACTAGATATGAATTGGATTCCGCCCGGATTCCCACTGGCCTAAATGCGATATATGGTATGGAACGAACTTGATTGGTATTGACAACCGGCAGAACCTAAAACATAATATACTTTATTTCGCAAACCGGTTTCGTAATCCGTCACGGCCGACCGCATAATATTTCAACATGAATGATGAATGAAGCGCCGTGTAAAATTCCTAGGTTCAATCTTATATATTCTCATAATCAATGGTTCTTGTTCGATCCAATTTACAAATTTCAGCGATTCACGAGCTCACATACGGACTGCAGAGTCCAAAATGGACAATATTTTAGATTTTGAAGTCACTTTTGCTCGCTCTAAGCAAGGAGAACCAAATATACAACAACAAGTGACCAGTATTCTTACTTTAGAATCGGGGTAAGCCATTAAAATCTCTTCCCAAAAGTAACATGCAGGCACATCAGCAACCGCATCAACATCTTTGTACATTTCTCGAACATCATCAATTGTGCTGTGTTCATTTAAAATCTTTCCCCAGCCATTGCCAAGTAAAAGTACATGTTCGTCACGGCCATAAACATTGTAGCCCAGTGAACTCAAGGCTGCTTCTACGGCCTCAGTACCAGTATTGGGTAAGCCTGCAACTATAACCTTCATACTTGCTTATCTATGTATGTAATATACTACACAACTAGAAGTTTATTTAGCGGTTGATTATCGATATCGCTGCAAAATCATATTGTGACAAAGGTCAATACAGTTATAATTCAGTACAGTCTCAGTACAGTGACCTTATCATTGATTCATGGAAATTGTTATGCAATCTGGAACACATTAGCCGCTACTTTTTGACAACGCTTTCTGCTTTTACTCTCAGACTAAGCGAACAGCAACCCATCTATAACCGTAATCTGCCTTCACACGATAGCTTGTTGCCCAGAATAAATAAAGTTTGCTGTCGACAAAAAAGCTGACGACGGACGACGATGCGTAACCACATCGCATCGCCGTCGAGTGAAACTTCACAGCGCTAGCGGCAGACTTTTGAATGTAAGCTGGTATGCACCAAATTGAAGTCGGTGGTATTCAAAATTTGAAACAATTCACAATAATCAATTAAATACAATCAATAAAACTTTGGTGATGCGTGATTTGCGTGACCATTAGGACTAGTGTGGTAATATTCCTAGTACTATGTCAGCGCAAAGCATTTATCAAATGAAAAAAAAAGTGATAAGATTATTCAATCGAATGTACTTCCATGCTTATGTCAATTCGCCCGATTATGGTTTCAACAAAAGCGTATATCACATCTTAGTCCAGTAGAAAAATAGTAATTTTTATAGGTAAACCAGTACCTTATATTCATCTTGTATATATATTTACAAAACAACTGCCCGAACATCATCCAAAAATTATTCAACTTCGAAATTGGTAGACTCGGCGAAAATTGGAATTTGGTCCTTATTCATAAGCAATGACAGTTTTTAAGAAAGTTTATTGGAATGGATGACACAAAGCTTCACAACTACAGTATAGTGTTATATTTGTGACGGTATATATAACAAAAAATGCAAAACTGGAAAATTACATTCAAGAATAAAATAAATAAATTAGTAAACGAGAATATCGGTCGGAGACCGAAGACTTATCGATCGAAACTGCGGTTTCGATTCATGACTCTATAGTGACACCGCATGTTCCATCATTAATTAATAATTAACTCGCTAATTATACGGCATAATTCATCCAAAATCAATGGGATTCTGGTCCGAGATATGATGAATGCACATGCAAAATTTGGAGCAGATTCAACCTCGCCCCCGTGAGATATCGCGTTCATCTAACAGACAAACAAACAGACATACAGACTGACAATTACCTATCAACATACTTACCGATCTTAAGACCGATAAGTAATAAAGAATTTTCAGTCATAATAAAATCAGTATATATTTTCAATCAACCCATTCCCTTTTTCTGTAAAATTGAAACTTTCTATCTGGATGTTCCAAACTAGGGGGCACCAACGCGGTTCCCGTGGGCACAAAGTCGCCCACATGGACCACATGAGTCGCCCGCAGGTCTGTTATAAATCTAGCTAAAATACAGGTGGTATTGATAATAATTTGTTCCCTATGTTGTTATAGTCGTTAATAATTTTGCTAAATAATTGTTAACATCATCAGTGTCTCCTAGTTGCTAAATACCATTAATAGCAATAGTCAAAGTTTGATCGAGCAAATTGGATTTTAAAAATTGTGCATCCCACTGAGAGCCCTTAGCTTATCGGTACCCAGGAAGTAGCCCTCGGCTTTATAAATGTTTATGACCCCTGTTCTAAACAGTATTTCTAAACACGTATTTCGAAACGCATAATAAAATGAAGAATATGATTTAAAATGTATTGAAAAACATACTAATGTTTATGTAAACAATAAAAATATCAGGGTGCTGCAAATGTCAAAGTTGCTATATAATAAGAAATTTTAAAAATAAAGCTGAAGGCTGTAAGTTAGACATCAAAGCACACCAGAAAATCGTGGGTGCTACGAGATACTTTACCGCATGCGAAGCATTCCATTCCTTAAAATGAACAGGTTTACGATAAAAATCTCCTTGAATATTATAAAAATATATATACCGGAATTCATTCGATCGTATTTAATTTTTTATTTTCAATCTTTTGAACATGAATGTTTGGAACAAGAATAATTACCCTGATTACTAAAGGAAGCAAATTTCCCTTTTGAAGTCTTTAAATTAAAAAAACGGAGGTTAAAAAGAAACGTTAGTTCAAAATTGAATTTCCGTTTGAGCATGAGGTCCGTCGGCTCCAACCTGCTTTGTCTGTTGGTAAATCCGGCCTGCTGTTCGTCAGTGCCATTCTTTAGATTGTGTTATTGATTTATATTCACAGAATAATAAATAGTTGGACCGCCAAATAACGAAGTTGGAATAGAACGCTGTTGTTATTGTGCAAACACCTTTTGTGCAGTGCATCATTTAACGCTTTAAATATGCTTATTCAATCGAAGTTTTTCGGATTTCCGTTGTATGCTGCATCGCTGTAGAAATATTCGTTAAATTCGTGTATCCCTGAGCTGATGATTTCTCATTTGACAGATCCTTGGTGGCCTGTAAATTTTTCATTGTCGTTATTATCAGATGGAATGAAAGCTTGCGCGTGTTACCAAGAACAACTTTTGTATCCATCGCTACCCGCGCATATTAAGATACTATGTACAAAGCATGAATTGATTTCGATAGCTTGTTGAAGTCGTTAGTATTTCCGGAAGGAACTTGACGCACACAGAGCGAGTCATCCCAAGAACCTTAAGAGTTGTTCATCGTTTGTATTCTAGAATCAATGTTTAGACATTCTTGACTCACCGCAGTAGTTCCGTTAGTTGAAGAAATGTTGGCCGTTGACAATAGTTTTTTAGTAAGATTCGCACAACATCCACAACACGAAAATAATGTTCCCCACAATTTTTTGTATCCATTTCTGAAGTTACGATTCAACACACCATACAGAACACTATTCATCGAACTAAAATAGCAAAATGTAAAAGTAAATATGAAGCAATTTCAATTAAAAATGCCATAAAAGAATGGGCAACTCCTACAGGCTGATCCCTTAGCTGGTTTTAGTTGCTTAAAATCACATTTTATGTTTGGTGACGAAGTGAACCTATGGATTGTTGGGGTGATTATTGTTGTTGCTGCTGAGGGCATTTTTTCACACCTAATAGACCAATCAAATTTAAAGACGTGAAAATTGTAATAGATGCTAGAAGGCCTTTTATCAATTTCTAATGAAATTTATCCGAGTCGTATGAGGTCTAATATTTCTGCTCAAGTTTTGCTTTTTTGATTCATGGTGCCGGTAACGTTAGCGACCTCAGTTTCTTGTATATGTATATTGATAATTTTCTGACAAGAATCCGGTATATATACATGATTTTATTTTCTTACAAGAGGCAAACAGATTACCATAATGTTTCAAAATTGACATACCTGTTTGTGAAAGCCAGCCACGCAGCACTGCGTTTGTAGAATGCTGGAGCGTGATGATTTATCAATATGATGAGTGCATACGGCAGCCAGCAGATAGTGAAAAGGGAAACTGCAGCCAATAATGTTATAACAAGACGACGCTCACGAATTTGTCGTTCTGTTAGTTTTCTGCAAAAATGTATCGACCTCATTTAATTTTATGATTATTACCAATAAATGAGCACTAACGAGCAATAATAAAAATGCAACTTCATATTGATGCGATGGTTAAACAGAGGCTCAAATACAAATCTGTATACTTAACATATATGCAATTATATACATTTAATATTTATTTAATTCTTACTTAGTTTTAGGTTTGGTTTTATCCACTGTTACGTTGGTAGTTGTGGTTGTGGTATTAGTTTCTGACATGCTGCGAACATTTGATCTGTAAAAGTGATTTTTTTATTCATTTGTACACTATATACTGTGTATTTGATATCTACACTTGTTATCTACAATACACAAAATATTACCGACGTTCAAAAATGTTTCCAACAACACTGTATTACTTAAAACGAAGCCCTTCTGCGAGATTATTTTTCAATTCAATCATACATAAGTTAGGTATGTGCACAAAAGTGGCTTACTTTTTAAAAATCGTTTATTTCTATTTACCTGTTTTCATTAAACGCCACGAATACACCTCGATAACAAAAACACGTCACCAAGAAGGGTAAGATTATTGAAATGCAAACGTATGACACAGTAAAAGAGAGAAATTTCCTGAAACAAAATATATATACATTAGATTCATTATTTCACATTTTCTATCATCCATAATTATGGAGTTCTATAGATCGTTCTAATTGACTAGAGGGAATGTGCTAGACAACAACATAATGATACATTCATAAGCGAGTCTTTTACATTTTTAATTAATAGATAAAATAATTGCATCTGAATCTGATAGAATAATGCTTTGGGACCCCTTGCATATAAATATAACATAAAAGTGCGGGTTAAACATTCTTTATTTCTACTATTTGATTCATTTTCTATTTTCTTAATTTGAGGTTAAAATTTGATCAAGCAAAGGGCATACCAGAAAAAAACTATTTTACAAGTATTGAGTACTCACTCCGCATTGCAATCATACATGCAAACGTGAATCTTCTTGTGATATCTGTAGTCTCCCCAACCAAACGCTGGTGGTATCGTAACTATGACAGACCTGGAGTAAAGATTTGGATTTTAAAAATTTAAATTTATGGACTTTATATATTTGCATATTTTTATTTTTTCCGGCTGTCTCGATGGGATACCCCAAATCGATACTAAAGGCAGATTGTATTTCCAATATCGTACCAAATGAATGATATAAGGACACGTTGTTCATAATTGAAATTTGTTCATTTAAGTCAGGGTTCCACAAACTCTGTGTTAATAGGTACCTTTTGGGCAATTCATACATCGCTCGTGTAACCCCCAAACTGCTTTGCGTGCTGTAATTGGACAAAATAAGTCATGTAGACTTGGTAGTTACTCTAGTTGTAGTTAAAGCTTATACCGTGAGAGTCCTTACACTCATGTCTTTAAATTATTAATATCAGGTAATAAATTTTTCTTAAGTGAGGTTGAAAGATGAATTCTTATACTCAATATCTAATGTGCCCCAGTTTGGAGAGCCTTAAAGTTAAAAGATGATTTTTTTAAATTATAGTGAGACATAATGGCTCCCTGTATATGAGTACATACTGATTTTTGATAAGTCTGGATAAATTGTAATTATAATCCTATTGCAAACCATTTGTCATGATATTTCATGAATTTAAAAGCACCAAAACGTGTCACTGCACGATATTATCCGCACATGCGCTTGATCACTCAAAATAAGAACAACACGACCATGTAAAATTCATGATTTTTTAGCGAAATTCCTAAATTTACATAATGCAAAAATCGTGATATTAATTTTCTACGTCCGCATTTGAAATTCAGTCACGATGGAGAATTGTGCATTGGATTACAGATGCGCATCACAAATAGGAATGAAACTTACTCGTGGCTCGATAATAATCTTTTATTTAATTTAGAATGTAACACAATATGAACAAGTTCTGAGTCAGATTACCTTAAGTGGTTGGCGTCCATTCTTCCACCCATTTTTACCGTCTTAACCATGGTGTATAAAATGGGCCACGCCAAATTGAGGGGATTCCATTTTTTATTGCTATTGGCTATGTACGGCGGAGTGAATGCATATACCTTGCTCTGCAGAACAAAGAAACCTTAAGCAAAAAATATATAAAATTACCAAATCCAAAGTCCGGCTATCATTCCCGCGATTTTCTTATTGCTGAATATCTTCGTGTATTTGTTATTGTGAACTACAGCCACGTATCTGTGAATAAATAATACATTGAGACTTTGTAAATTAGCAAATTAGCCTTTCCAAAAATCAAATTATATTAAGTCGAGAAAACGTTTAACGGGATAATATTATGCATATTCTATGTCACTTTATCAACTTGTATGCTCATTTATTGAATCTAAACATACCATGGAAATATGACTTTAAATCTGATTGTGCGATTGCGATTGAATCATTTTGCAATTTTAATTTTGTTACAAGATACTCAGTGTAGGGTAGCTAGAAAAATATATATTCAATTTCACCTGTTTATTGCGACAAACATCAAGCTGTACATAGATCCGATGCAACTGACGGATAGAACAACAGCGGTAAAACTACAAAGTGCCGGAGGAAATAGATTTTTATTTGAAATCACATTAGCAAGTACTCCAGGAAGAACATAGGACGTAACAACTAGATCTGCAACAGCTAGATTAACAATGAAGGCGTTTCCTGCAAACTGAATTAAAAATAATTGATAAAATGATCAATGAAAGGATTTAACAAATTTTTCAATAAAAAACACAAATAGGTCCTCTCAAATATAACATAACAGACAAAACATGTTTCAATTGTTTCTCGTTATCATATGCATTTTTAAAATATTATATTTTAGAATTTTAAATTTACTATCTAAGAATTTACCTTTAATTTTTTCTCCAATAAAATTGCTCCAATTATGCTTATATTGCCAACAATCCCGAGTAAAATAACAATAATAAGAAAAGGTATTTCAAACTGTGGAATCCACCAATGATGTTCAGTCAAGACAACTGACGAATTTGCCGGCCATCCGTCACTCCCATTAAAAGGAACGTCGTAATCTCCATAAATTTTAGTTTCTACCACGGAAACGCTCATTTTGAGTAAAATAATAACTTGAAAAAAAAATGGCATTTTATATTAGGCAATTCATTGTGTACGTATGTTAAATACTCAGTGAGTTTGTACTCGTGACAAAAACATTTTAAAGCCAATCCAATTCGAAATAAAGAAACAGAATGTAACAACTCATTGTGCCTGGCGTAAAGAGTGAAAAAACGGCAATGCATTTAGAACATATATATTGTAAAAATGAATAACATTAATTTTTGGCGATCGTGGAAATAATTTCTACGTGATAAGACTTGTTGCACACTAATACGAGTATTTTATTTAAATAAAGGGTTTAAAAACTTTGCCCGTCGCACGGAACTAATTTTTCCACAAATTATTCTAAATTATTAAACGATATGATTATATACCTAATGTTTAATTTGCGTTCGATCTCAATTCATTTTCGAGCTCTTTAAATTTTTAGGTAACTTCAGGGATCAGAGAAATATTTTGCTATGATCGGTCTTTATTCATCCCTTCCATCTTACTGATGATAACTATTGACAAATTCTTAGTTGCGCAGATAAAAGCAATCAAATCACAGTATCTATTGTGAAACTTGATTACAAACTTATCTACGCTTTATCAAGCCTTACACTCACTTTCCGTAATACCACAGTTCGCTGAGAATGACTGTTAATTACATCACAAAATAATAAATACCAAATTCTGATGTGTTAGTCGATTTTTTTTTCGATATCCAGGCAATATGTTGGCTATTTATTATAAGTGGAGCTGAAATTTATAAACTTATAATTTACTCGCAACTATATTTTAATCAAACTATCAAAACATAAATTTTATTTTTCTGTTCTGTTCCTAAATCTGACCTTGCGGAAAAGTGTGAGGATTTAGTATCAAACAAACACAATTTTCTCGTACTACTGTTTGTAATTAATACTGTTCCAACGCAGATTCCGTCAATGACGACGTAAACCTCTTCGTAATTGACCAATTATATCCGAGGACTATAATTATAACTGGAGCTATTTCGTTCCAAGGTAGCATCACAATTACAATAATAGTCATTTAATATAATATTCATGATTCGTGAACACTGAATTTCGTGATTTCGAAAAAGATTTAGTTGGTAAAAACGCAAAACTTATACATAAGGATTTTCCCAAACAAGCGACGAGGCACGCTTTCAAGAATTACCGTGTAAGTGTAAAAGTTACATCTAAAAACAGACTAATAACAAATTAAAATAGTTAATTCTTGACACAGCATCTTTGCATACCAATATCGATCCACTTAAAGAAAGGGGAACAGTCCCGTCCAACTACAACTCACGAAAAGCAAGGTTACTGAATTCCCAGACTCGTCTCATATTAACCTTTAACAATATTTCGACGCATTTGTCAAAGATTCGTCAAACGAAGCAAGTCAAAATCACTGCGTATGTCAATATGATTATTTGAATTGTTTCAACTCGATAGCATCGGGGAATCAATTTTTAAATTACGATCAGAAATAACGACCCGCTTATATCTATGTAAAAATTTATGATTTTCTATCTCTACGCTACGAGACAATCAGCTACTATGGTATGTTAAATGAAGGGTGTGCAAACCGCGGCCCGCGGGTCACATGCGGCCCGCAAGGACAAATTGTGCGGTTGGCGGAGAAGTGCCATTTTGAATGGTGCCCGCGAAACGAGATTTTAGTTTAGTTAATCTTGTACGTGCGAGCAATTCCAACCCCTTTGCGTTGCGATGTCTATACCAGTACCTGGGGGCCACTGTCATATTAGCAAAATTAGCTAGAAAATTCATGTTGTAAAATACACAATGTTATAAAAACGCGTTTGTTACTAAATTCTTTAAAAGTCGGTGTGACAATAAATTTAAATGCTCATATTTGCAAGGACCCACAACAATTCCGTAAGATCAATAACAAAAAGAAACAATTTTTGTGCCTGAAATTACTAGAAAGGCTATCTTAAATAAAAGTGCGGTCCGTGGCTTCACCAGTTACTCGTATCTGGCCCGCCTGTAATAAAAGTTGCACACCCCTGTGGTAAATGATTGCTAAATCTTCTTGCGATATTCAATAAAAAGCTCGCTAACTATATGTGTAAATTAATATATTCAACGATTATAAACTATAATTTTGATGTATACATAATTTTGATGGAATACTTATAATGTACTACTTCGCTATACCATACTTCATTTTTTATCATTTTTCAAGTTCTTCTGAAATGATTTATTTTTCATGAAATACACACATGGTGAAATTACTGTAATCAGGATTTTGTACTTATTGTTAAAACGTAGTAAAATGCAGGAGAGATTTCATTTTTTTTTACAAAAATCCTAATTTTCGGTTTTCATTCTTATTTCTGTCGAGACTGGTTCCGCAATGGTCGATTAAATTTTTAAAAAATATTCGACGAAAACAATATTGCCAGATTTTTCTATAGCTCCCATTATATATTAGCATTATATATTTATTTCCATTGGTCCACGAATGATTCCAGTATAATTCATACCCACATGTTAGACGCATAGGCGAATGAACATAACAGAGTTAACCTCCTCCAATTTTCTTGCAGTTTCCTCTATTGCTGTATATTACTTCTAAACCAAGGTTATTATATCTACACCTTCAACTAGAATTTACAACATCATTTTGCGCCAACGAATGTTTGCAATTATGCATTGTATATTACATATGTATATGAAGTCTGCTCCAACTCAGTTTACGAAAACAGAAAAATTTTTGTCTTAATTTCGTTTTATCGTGACTTTAATTATTACGCCTTCATATGTTAGACTTCCGTCCGCTTCCAAAGTGACGTAGCTGAAACCATACGTTAGAAAAAAATCGTGATATATTGCATCACAATGACTTAGTTTAATATTGCAATGAGATTCCTTTAATATGGAGACTTCCGATGCAAGAGATTAGTCATCTGCATGGTCAATAAAACGATGCACAAAAAATTCAAACATGAAATAGACATGATCTGTTACGTCTTCTTCGTTTGGATCCCTACTCATTCTTTTTCCACACTTATATATATATAAACTTATACAACTTGTCGAAATGTCGATCTTACACATAATCCTTCTTCATTATATCGTAAATGTTGCATGATCCGGTATGTCGAAAAAGATTTTTCAGTCGTCAGGGTGAGCTGCGACGATTAAATGGCAGTTTGTTTTATTTAATTCTTTGTCGATTTAAATATAAAATGTATGCTGTAAACGCTACATTAGGGTATATTCGGAAGTAAAAATGATTACCATATTAAGAAATATTACTAGTTTGATCCACATTTGTGAAAACTATACTTGTCACACTATTGTCGAATTGTATTACCTCGTCGTTCTATTCGCTACCCGCCGGATCTTGCGCTTCGTGGTTCGTGCTTCGATTTTCCATTCCTCCTCTCATTCACGAATTTGAAATTGTACACTCACCCGAGGACAAAGCTGATTTGTTTGCGAAATTATATTCAAATAAAAAATCAAAAACGTTCGTGATTTTATGAATCTTAATCGCTCTATTAATCTTTTGTCAAACTAAATCCCAAGGCTGACGATAAAATTCAAAGCGTACAATTCATTACGATAAAGCATTACTACCCTTGGCAATACTTGGGCAAACGGAGTACATAAAATACGTGGTAAACTGCCCGATTATGATTATATTCGATATTTTTTGGTATTCGGTATATGGTATTTTTCCGATCTTAGGAATTCGTCATATTTGATCTTATCTTGCAACACTGATTGCCATTTATTTCCAAGATATCGCTGTTAGAAAAATATCTAGGTTAGCGATAAAATGCTGATTGTGCGATAAAAAAAATGCATCAGGCATACTTTACATTAATTAGCTTATATCTGGGGAAAAGTCAAGCGCGACTAAGCGATAATTTAGTAATTTATGATTGAGTGATCTAAATTTAGTTAAACTCAACTTCAGCGGATTCACTCCTATGATTATAGGAAGCGTCTCGTCACAGATAATCGCATAATACCAAGTTTTTTACGCTGGTCGCACAGTTCCGGAGTTCCAAAAAGAGGAGGAAGGTCGATCGCGAACCTATATGGTATATTTGGTGAGATTCTTTCCATCATTGAATCATTTCTCTCTAACTGGAGTTTCTCAGGGCTCAGTGATCGGACCCATATTGTTCCTAATATTTATAATTGATCTTCCAGATGATTTGATTCGTCTAATGATCTAATTACTCTTTTATGCTGACGACACAACTTTTCATTCTTGTCCTGATATGAAGTCCAATAAATACGGACGTTTGGAACCTGCTAAATCTTTGGAAACGGACTTGCTTGGGGGGAGCAGCGGTAAGCCTCTCTGAACTAAAACTCTTATCTATCAATCGTTACATTGATCCTGATGCTGCTCTAATTTAAATGTCGGAGGAAATTATAGATGATTCACCCAAATTTTGTCTGGTTGGAAAACTATCTCGAAGGATTTTAGTTGGAATTAATATATAACGTCCAGTGGCTCGAAACGCGTAAATGAAAGTTGAATCTCTCTATAGTTCTTGTCGTTATTAGTCCCGTGGGCGCATACCTTACTTGTACAAATCACTGATACCTCCACGCATGGAGTATTGTTGTCATATTTGGGCTTGGTGCTATTAACCTTGATGTTCGAATTTAGAAAGGAATATCAAATATGATTGGCTTCCTATTGGCGCCCGAGCTGCAAACTCATTGTTGTCGAACTTCATGAACTTGTTCCAAAAAAGTTTTCAGTTATCAAACTCGGCTGTTTGTGAGCTCTCGCTCGTTCACTGTCAGTATACCTACTAGGTAAAAGAAATTTTATGCCAAAAATTTTTTCCAATATCTTCAGTTATGTGGTATTTACTACCACACAGCTGTTTTTGATCGCATTGACATGAACTGTTTCAGGTTTCGCGTCGATCAGTATTTACCTCTACACTATAATGATTTATAGTTTCTGTATTCTTGACATTTCAGTGTCGCGCGTAACTTCGCTCAGAGATCAATCATATTTATTTCTGACTGAGTGCGAGTGACCTTGCACTGGGTCTATTTTTTTATAAAAAATTATTTCCAAATTTGGAAAAAGTGCTAATTCGATTCACGCATGTGAAAATAACTATACTCGTCACACTATTATCGGATATAATTACCCTCACGTTCTATGCTTCAGAACACGTTTTTCTCAATACGTGATATTTCCGTGTCACTATCTCTCGGAACAGGACTCTAAACAACCAGTTTTTTCACATATGGCTTATTATTATTACAATAATTACCAAGAGGAATCTTCTATATCTGGACAGTCTGACAGCAACAGCCTGACTTTGACCAAACAAAACGTCACAGAATAAAAATTGTGAAAACGTAATGCAAGATTCTTGAACATAATAGTATACCGTTTTGATTCTTCCTATGCAATTCTTGCAGTCAGTGGGTATGGGATCCACTGACAGAAAAGCAAAAAAAATATGGCACAATAGTTAGGAATAGCCATAATTTAGCCACATTCCCAATCTGCGATGTCAACTATAGACCTGGCTATTGCCTTATTACTCCGACTATATTTTTTATGAATGGATAATTAATTATACATACTTAAGGGTTATTTAAAAGTTTTTATCACCAATCCATCCCCCAATTGCTGACAATAGTTGGCCTGTTAATTGATTGACTGTTCTTAGGTGGTTTGACGGTTTCAGTTAAGTTCGGCCGTTAACTATTATTCCTGGCAATCCCTTTAATATTGCATACTCAGGGAATAAAAACTAATGCGCATGTATTGTCTCCCTCTTAACATAATAATAAAAAAACAAGAGAGCAATGATCAAATATATTAACACCAATGAGAAATCGAAGCAGTACTGGGATACAACTTTTCATTGTAGACTGCCAGTACCGAAGTCTTCACTTCGCCTGTCCACTACAGCGGAAAGAACGCGAAAACCCCACAAGGAGCGCAAGTTTTAATTTTGATGGCGGCGTCATCGCGCACAAAAACAACTTCATAGATGCCACAGAAATGTGTGATTAAAAATAAAAGTACTGTAATAGCCTTCTAGCGACACATACAATATTTAATCGCTGAAAATTTCAAAGCAATTGGTCCGGAAGTTAATGAGAAAAGCGATTTTTTCTTAACAACAGGAACATGAACAGCAGGAAGACGAATGAGAACATGAAAAAGAATTCTAACAATACCATAATAACAAAACGTATCCTATGTACCTTTCGTCTCCAATAAGATAATAACAAAACGATCCATATAAAACTTCATGTCGATCCGTATGTACGTACACACATGACTGCGTCCAGTCGAGTATATTGCCAATGATTCATATACAATTGCATGGCCTTTTATCACAATATTCAGAGTTGCACCGAATACAGTTACGTCCAATTTTCAAATCGTTTTGATCAAAATATCTCTATTATTCAAAGTAGTTGGCTTCTTTTTTGTAACAAATTGAGGAGGCACCTCAGCCATTTACATCAGTCAACTAAAATATTTCGATTCATTGACAATTTTGAGCAACATCAAGGCAGAACCGTAACATAAACAAGCCTAATTTTCAACATCATACATAAATTGAGGCCATGTTGTTTCAAACTTTACATTTGACACCAACAGCGGTTAATCGGTAAATTTTATCTGGTTAACGGCGTTTACGATGAAATTTCCAGCATTTTAACAATCAAGTTAATGTCATACATTATACAACTTTGCATGTAAATAACTTATGAAATTAATATATAATAGTGTGTGCGTATATTTTAAATAGGATCGCTCAAATCAATAAGGTAAGACCAGCTATATAAAATCATTGATTGAAGTATTATAAACAAACATGAATGCGCCAATAGCTGCAAATAAATGTAATGTCCATCAGATAGATACATCATCGGTGACTTTGCGGTTTTGCGCATAATAACTCCACGCTATTTGGCAATGATGAAACATCTAAACGGGGATACTGTCAAAATGGAGACAATCTTGTGCTGATATATATGTTCGTATTTACAAAATCTTCTGCTCGTAAACTGGAATCAAGTCACGAATTGCAGGTGGTTCAATAAGGCCAGGACTTTGTACTCGAAGCTCTTAAACTTGACTTGAGAAAACGACGATGACTCATTTCAGATGGAATGTGGTGAAATGGATTTTTGAGAATAAATGACTTGGAGCCAACACTGCCGGAACGACGTGCTGTGGGTCCAAAGTCTCCCTGCTGCTAATATACCGCAGTTTCAGTTTTATATCCAGTTATATTTGAGTCAAATGATTGTTGTCTCAAACGATGTATGACTACCAGACGTGTGTGTGATGAAGAGAAAATACAGAGGCATTTTGAACGAATATGAGTTCAACATATGAGAAATTACGTGAAGCATTAATTGGTATTTTTCACAGTGCTGAAATTATCGACGATGCCAGAATCTACCCTGCGACGATATGCCACGATAATAATCGAAAGTAATGTGTTTAATTTCGATTTACGTCAGTCATGGCTATACCTTTTGTTTATTTTTTTTTCT